GCCCGAGAGGCCTCTGGAACGAAAGGACCCGGCGGTTCCTCGAGACCCGACGGCTCAATCCCCGAGGGTTCTCCGCGGGCACAGGCTTCTCGCCCACCGGTGCCCACCGTCAGGCGCAGCAATGCTGTTAGCTCATCTTGGTAACGGGCTCCCGCGGCGCAGTCCCCGTAACCGGTCACCGAGTGTCGTCCGGGTTGTACCCCACGTCTCTCCAAGGGCCCCGCCGCTCCCACTCCGGCCCCGGCTAGAGCTCCAGGGCTGCCCAGAGCCGGGGGATACGAGTGGCGGCTTTCCTGGCAGCCGAACCCCGAGGGCCGATGAGCGCACAGTCGATCCAGGGCAGCGTGGAGCTCTGGGTAGGCGGACGGGACCCCTCCGGGGGAATAACCTGCTGGAGCCCCGGTCAAGGGTGGGCCAAACAGGCACGGCCCCGCGGGCAGGGGGCTCCCGTGGCGCTGATCGTAGCCCATGCTGATGCCGCTGGTACGATTGCTGCAGGGCCGGCTACCTCCGGCTCCGCCAGCCCCCGCCCCGTCCAGCAGCAGGCTACCCCGGGGGCTGGATGGCTTGCTCGCGTCGCTGGCTGAGCTACTGGCGAAGCTGGAGCGAGGGCTTAGAGCCGGTGCGGTGGTCTCCAGCCGAAAATCGGGAGGCAGTGACTGAGGTAGAGGCAAGGCCCGGTTGGGCGGCGGCCCCCCAGGAAAGGAGCCTTCGTAGCGCTGCGCCTCAAAGGAGCCGCGCGGATTCCGCTCAGCGTCCAGGGGGCCTTGCTCCCGGGCTGGCTCCAGTGGCTCATCCCCAGGTCCCCCAGTAGCTCCTCGGGGCCCTGTTTTCCTAGGTCCCCCCAACCCACTAAGGCGCCCCTTGCCCGGCGCGAGGGTCCCATCAGACCCGGACCGGCTAGTTTCACCCTTTCTGCGGCCGAACTTGGCACTGCCGGAGTCCGAAAGCCTTAACTTCTCCAGCAGGCGACTGGCTTTCTCCCCTAACCGCTCCATGCCCTCGGGCCTGGGGCCTGAAGCCCCCTCCCTGCCTGGCACCCTGCAGCGTTCCTGCGGCCGCTTCTCTTTGCCTGCCGCGGGACTGCGGTTCCCCAGGGGCACAGGATAGGCACAGGGGTTCTAGCGGGCGGCCCGGGTGCCCGGCGCCCGCAATCCCGCAGCATCCCCCAGCGGGAGGGGCTGCGTCCCCCCGCACATCTGGGATTAAGCGGGGCTGGAAGGGCCTGCAGCCGCGGCTGGCGGGTCCGCAGGTCTGTCTGTTCACGCGTCTACTCGCCCTGCCGCCCGCCTGGCCGCGGCCCCCGCCCCCCTTGCTCTCACACTCCGCACAGACCGAACTTCTCTCCCAAACTTTTGTCTGCCCGGCCGGATCTACTTTCCTGGAAGGGCGGAGCGCGGTGTGTACGGGAGCGAGGGGGTGTCTGCGCAGGGATCTCCGGTGCGTCGCGGGGGGGACGCTGGGCCTAACAGCTCTGGAGGTGGGGTTCCGCCAGTTGGACGTGAAAGGAGGGCAAGGGACAGTTTGGGCAGCTGCGACCACAACACTCGAGAACTACAACAGGAAAGCGTGTGGGTGGGGGGAAGAAGGGGGACTCTTTGTTTGCAGCTGGAATGCGCGGAGGGGCACTGTGGAATGTCGCGGGACGGGACGGGGCAATCGGAGGTATGTCCTGCGCAAACACCGTGACTGTGCCTCGTGTGGGGACTGTGGGGGAGATGGAGAGAGACTAGTACGGAAGTTGTGAGACAAGAGAGCAGTAAGGAGGAAGACAGGGAGAAGGAGAAAGGTAGATACACGAAAAGGTTCAGGGACGTGTAGGTAAAGGTAGCTCTGAAAAGCAGGGAATCTCCCATAGATGGAAGACAGGTAACGAAAGGAAGAGCCAGAGCCGAGGCGGGTGTGGGAGGTGCAGAGACTGATGGATGCATAGACAAACAGCTATTTGATCCTGAGAGCTAGAGAGACAGATAACTGCAATAAAGACACCACTTTCTGGACCCACAGTTCTGTGATGGTGGATGGAGAGGGAGGGTGGAAGATTTATGTTCTGTCTGTAGAAGCAGCGAAAAGGAGTAAGGAAAAGGTTTGGGACTGATCCCTGCCTTAAGAGGGAGGGAAGGAGATTTAGGGTGTATATAAAAGTAGGGAGGAAATGGTTTGGGACTAATCGATACCCAAAGGGTAGGAGAGAAAGAGGGATAGACACCCCCTGGTGTTGTGAAATGAAATTTTAAACAAATATTTCAGGTGGAGATGGAAGGCCTGGTTTTAGGATGAGCAAACACCCCTGGCCTATCCTAGTTGGTTGGTTACAAGAGGTTGGCGACGAAGAGTATTATTAACTTAAGAGAAAGAAAGAAATGCCAATTAGAGGAAATAAGTGAAAATGATGAGAGTGGAAAAGGAAAAGAGGCTGATAACACACTGGAAGAGTCAAGAATAAGGAAAAAGAAACTCTAGCCGAAGCTGAACGCCAGCCTACAGACTAGCATGTAGACAAGGTTGCACTTGGATAGTAAATGAGTATGAAAATTACAGAAAACAAATCACGCATATTATTTTCATCTGGACATCTTGAACACTTTACAATTTTTAGTGTAGCGTTAGGAAATGTGAGAGGAAAGCCAGGTGTGACAGTGCATACCTATAATCCCAGCACTTGGGAGGCTGAGGCAGGAGGATAGAAAGTTTGAGGCCAGTCTGGGCTATATAGCAAGAACATGTTTCAAAAGGAAGTGGAAAAGAAAGGTTAGTATCTTTAGGCTTTGGTTAAATATCTCTGGCTTGTCTGTCCAAACTTCAGTGTCTCCTGGAACGCTGAGAATCAGCCTATTTTTCCAGGCAAGCCTATGAGGCATTTCTCTGATCCTGAGAACAGTCTGGAAGAGAAGAGGATGGAAAGCAGAGGGAAGCTGTCAGGTTGCATCTAGAACCTTCTTGTGAGCAACATTTTTAGAATTAATCTTAAGACTCTCCCTCCTTTTCCTGACTCCAGATGGAAGGAGAACCTGGATTCTTCCTTCTGATTAGTTACATCTGAAATATTTGCACAGCCTCTAATATTTGGAAGTTTGGGGGATAAGAAGTAAATCTTACAAAAAGTTGAAAAGACACTAAAAAGAAGGTCCACCAGGACACAGTTGAGATGAATTGCTTTTTTAAGGGAATAACAGGAATTGGAGACTAGTGAAGCAGAAGTGGAGTGTCCTCACAGGAACAAAAGAAAAACCTTCCAATGACTGCTGTCATCCACTAGGTCATCTCAGAGGCACCCTCCAATGAATGCATTTTTTTTTTTTTTTTTTTTTTTGAGATAGGGTCTAGTGAAACTGTTTGCCTGGGCTGGCTTCAAACCTTGGTCCTCCTGATCTCTGCCTCCTGAGTAGCTAGGATTATAGGCATGAACCACCGGCACCTAGCTTCAAGTGATTCTTTTAATATACAAAACTGATCCCTGCTTAAAGAAAAAAAAAAAACTTTCAATGATTTCTCACTGCTCTTGAGTCACTGATGCTTTTTTTTTTTTTTGTAGTACTAGGAATTAAACCCAGGGCCTTTATACATGTTAGGCAAGTGCATATGCACTGAGCTACATTCCAAGCCCACATCTATTCTTCTTTAAGGGTTTGACAAGTTCTCTCTACCTTTCCAGCCTCTTCTCTCAGCATTATCCCCTCCCCAAACTGGTCTGCAGTAGAAGTAACCTTGTCGGTACTCTCTTTTGCCTCTGGACTTTTGGATCTACTTGTTCCCTGTGTGAACCACTCTCCTGGCTTCTCCCTTCTCCCTGGTTACTCTTCTCCATCTTTTGGGTATTGGCTTAAGCACCACTGCCTCTGAGAGACCTTTCCTGACTACAAAAGTAGGTTAGCTACCCCTGCTGCATTCTGTCTTTGCATGAGCATTCCTCCTTGGCCACCCTCAGCACAGTTCATTTCGGTGCCTACTCAGTAGGCAGGTTTCCTGACCAAACAATAAAACCTGATCATCTCAACTTATCAATATAATGTCATAGCAACTAGCACAGTACCTGACACCTAGTAAGCAAAAGTTCTCCATGTATTTTTTTTGAGACAAAGTATTACTATGTAGTCCAGGTTGGCCTCAACTCTTCTTCTTCTGGTAGTAATGTAAGTAAAGAAACTTAATATAATAAAAGTATGAAGGAATGGGGAAAAAAAGGAAAAACATTTCCTACTCCCCGTGCAGAAAATGGGAGTAAAGACTTCTGGCCTCAACTCTTGATCCTCCTGCCTCAGTCTCCTGAATGCTGGAATTATAGGCATGTGTCACCACACCCAGCTTAAATATTTGTTGTATGACTGAGTGAAGCCATTTACTTCTCAATCCATTTGAAATGCATGTGTGTGAGCACACACATACACCTTCCTCCAAATATAGCTTGGCTGACAAGACTAAAAAGTAGCTACAAAGCTTGGTCACAAGAGTGGAGAGAAGCTGCCAGTGAGACATGGGAATTCTTTTAAGCTTTAATATCCTCATCTGTAAGACAGATATAATAAAATCTTCCTTATATAATCCAATAATCAATAGCTATTATATCTAGATCCCAATTTCCAAAGTAATGCAGCCAGTGTTCCCTTGCTCAGAAGAATCAGGCCCATGACTCAAATTGCCCACCAGGTGGCAGTATTACCGCGGACTGTCCCTGTTTTGTTTCCACTGCAGAGCCAGACCAGCAATCATGGGGAAGCAAAAGGTAGAGCCAGGGCTGCTTCCCCTGAGCTTTGGGTGAAATGGGAAAAAAATGTAAAAAAACAAAACCCCTCAGAAACAGAGATGTGTGTCAAAAAGGCCTCATGTTTCTTTGATCTATCTTTTTCTCATCCCAGGCTCCTCCGAGGCACTGTTTATGCTTAGGAATAAAGCATTTTTCTGGCTTGCCATTCACAGTGGGGGTGTCCATCCCACCACACACACACACACACACACACACACACACACAGAGTTTTCTTATCCCACCAGAACTTCTAGCTTCCACTTCAAGCAGAGACTGTGTTAAGAAGACAGGCAAATTTGCTTTCTCAGACTGCATAGGGCATCTCATTCTGAGAAACCCCATGGCCACCCATTTCTGGGACATGGGTAGTGGCAGAAGCCTAAGTTATTCTTGGTCATAAACTTTACTCATCCTTTTCCACCTTGATTTCAATGAATGAGTTCAAGTCAGGACAGCAGGTTTTGTGGGGCTGGTCAAAAGATGGGGAGATAGGTCCATTCTCATTGCCTCCCTCCTCTTCCTCTTCTTGGAAATGAGGATTGTAAAGTTCTGGTGGAAGGAGCTGGGCTTCAGCAGAAGGCAGTCTGTCTGAGGGAGGCCCATATACCCTGTTGGCTTTGGTGCCATGCTTAGAGTTAGCATCCAGGTGGTAGCAGAGCTCTGTGAGGCGCTGGGCCCGGAAACGAGGAGGACGCGCCACCCAGACACCTGGCTCGTTAAGACTGTCCTCCTCATCTGACATCAGTTCTTCTGTCACATCTTTCCACAGGCGTTGGTCCTCAGGTCCAAAATGCCTCATGATACTGGATCGATTGGCAAAAAGCTAAAGTAGGACCCCAGGACAGAGATTAGGAAGGGAAAAAGACTATGGATTTAGGGAAAGGGTTCAGGTAAGGATGAAGGCAGTGAAAACCTGAGGGAACCCAGTCCCCAAGTCAAGCGTAGAATTGGCTCACCCTCTGTCTCTGTCTATGAATCTTCCAGCCTGTCAATCCTATTCTCAGATACCATGTCCTCTGGCCCTTCCTACTGTGGCTTATTAGGATTTAAGGTTTTGGGCTAGTAGAGTAGCTCAAGTGGTAGAGTGCCTATTTGGCAAGAGTGAGGCCCTGAGTTCAACCCCAGTACCATAAAAAAAAAAAAAAAAAAAAAGAAAGAAAGAAAAGGATTTAGGATTGGCATCTTGAAAGGAAGGCCTAGAAACCTACCCGGTATCGGCGACTTCGAAGTTTCTTTTCCTCTTTTTCCTTCAGGCCTTTAAAGGGGTTCAGGGAGTTGCGGTACTCTCGCCTCTTGGTAAGGAAGTAGGCCACACAGGCTCCTAATGGGAGGAGAGGGGAGAGAGGAAAAGCAGGGTCCTGTAGAGCAGTGGCCCAGCCCTTCTTTCTGCTCTTATACTGCTGGATCAAAGGCTGGAATCTTTATTTAGACAGTCTGCTTTCTTGACACACCCACCAGCATCTCTTCTGCCCTCTTTGGTTTAGTGCTCTCCATCTCCAACTAAACCTCCCACTAAAAAGACAACTCAAATTGCTTCCATGCATTAAACCTACCCCTACTGCCCCTCTACCAATAGGCTTCAAGTATATTTTCAGTGAAAGCTTTCATAAGATTTTATTTTGTTTATTTATATTTATAATCATTTTTACGTTTACTCACATGTATATACATTGTTTGGGCCACCCCCCACACAATAGGATTTTAAGATTGGCTACAAATAACAGAAGAGAGCAAGTTAAGTAGAACACCTAGAACATATTATTTAGGTACAAAAGGGCAGGCCGGGCTTCTGACCTCAGCTTCAGAACCTACGTAAACATAATGCCTGATGGTGTTCTGGCCCTTTCCTTCACCCATTTTCATTTCAAGCTGAGTAGAGGAATGGAAAGGCAATTTTGAATGACTCTGTGAATAAACTGTAGGTGAGAAGAACAGCCCAAAATAAAGTTTTAAAGTATACTATTTTCAGCACCACCTAAATTATTCCCATTAAGGTTTTCTGACCAAGAATGGGGGAGAAAGGGGAGGGAAGGAAGGACTAGTGGGAGTGAACGCAGTTCTTCTCACCTTTTAGCTCCTTATCAGTATAATTGTGGGGACTGGTCACCAGCTCCTGCTTGAGCTTTTCCAGAAGGAACTTCACTACGGAAATGTTCCAAGAGGACTTGATGCTGCCACAGAGGAGAGAATGAATGAGACAGACAGCTTTGAGAGAGCCAGATGAACACAGACACCCAGCATTAATCAACTTGGTGCTAAATTCCTTGACCTGAGACAGGATGTCAGGGCAATGGCGAGATTGAGGCTGTGACCTCACTCTTGCATTTGAATGTCCCCCTCTGCTTCCCTCTCCTTAGCAAAGTACCTTGTGATCTTTTTCCCTCAAGAAACCATACCTTTCAGACCCATTGAATCTCTTGTCATTGGTGATATGGTTATGCACATTGTGGACCAATTTCTAGGGGGAAAAAAAAACAGAATCAAGCCAGGAGTGGACATCATGAAAAACCTCCTCTGGTCCCTAGGGTAAAAATAGGCATTGAACCTATGGTGTTCTATGCCTGATTCCTTTCCATAGCCTAGGTACCATTTTTGCATACGACCTTTCTTAGCCAGAGAGCCTGTCCAAGTTAGTATTTCTAATGGGGCCTCCCCCACCTTTAATTTAATGTGTGTTAAGTTTCCAGGATCATTCCTGGTCTTACTTCTGCTTCTGAGTAATCACTAGAGCAGTAGTCTCAGACATTTCTACAAAACACCCTTAATGGCAAGGAGAGAGTGAATATGTACTCGGGTTACTATAAGTGAGTATTTTTTGGGTTTCCTTTTTTTTTGGAGCTGGGGTTTGAACTCAGGGCTTCATGCTTGCAAAGCAGGCTCTCCACTGCTTGAGCCACACCTCCAGCTCTATTTTTTGAGCCTGCAACTTTTCCAAAGTTAAAATCTTCTTCTTCAAAATATATCTATATTTCTTCAAATATAAAAATGTCTTCTGAAATCTTCTAGTAAAATTAATGACCCGGGAAAATGTCCTGGTTTCCTTTTGTACATTATCACAAGTCCCAGGGGTACACATACCATGGTCTGAAAAACACAGATCTAAAATAACAGAAGTATGAATTGGAAATACATTGGAGACTGTTACCAATGTCCCTTTCATGACATTAAGCGGGCTGTCTTTCAGTTTTTGCTTATATACATCTATTTATTTCCTTTTTTCTTGTTTTGTTGGCAGTATTGGGGTTTGAACTCGGGGCCTTGAGGGCTTTCTAAAAAAGTACTCTACCACCTGAGTCACACTGACATTCCTGCTCATGCACATCTAATGATGCTAATGATGGTTATCCTTTTTGAGTCAGTTTATTCTATCATTGGACATACTTTTTTTTTTACCAGTACTAAGGTTGAGCTTAGGGCCTTGTGATTGGCAGATGCTCTAAAACTTGAACCACACTCCCCAGTCCTTGCTTTTTTCTTGGTCTTTTTAAAAATTAGCATATATTACTTGTGCGGGGGCATTTCATTATGACATTTCATTCACCACTTCTATCATTCTCCCTCAACCCTTCCTCCCACCTTTTGCTTTTTTATTTTTTAGGGTTGTTGTTTTGTTTTTTTTTTTGGCAGGACTGGGGTTTGAACTCAGGGCTTCACACTGGCTAGGCTTGATCCCTACCTCCCTACCTCCAGTCCATTTTAGAGATGGTGTCTCATAAACTATTTGCCCAGGACGGCTCCGAACCTCAATCCTCCCTATCTCAGCCTCCCACGGAGCTAGGATTATAAGCATCAGCCACTGTGCCCAGCCTTGAACACCTTTAATTGCTAAGAAGTTCTGCCTTAACATGCTCCAAATATGACTCCAATTTTGCACATCATATATATATGATATATATATACACACACACTTTTTTTCAGTGGCACTGGGATTTGAACTCAGGGCCTCATACTTGCTAGGCAGGTACCACTTGAACCACTTCCTAGCCCTTTTTTTGAGATAGGGTTAGTGGAACTATTTGCCTAGGGCTGGCTTCAAACCACGATCCTCCTGATCTCTGCCTCTGAGTAGCTAGGATTATAGGCATGAGTCACTGGTGCCCAGCTCAACCTGAGATATTGAAGACAGCTTTCATAGTCTCCCCAAATCTTGTGTCTGGTCTAAACACTTGAATTCCTTCTGGCTATCCTCATAGTTTCCCAACAGACTCCTCATCAGAAATAGGGGCCTCTCAGGACTGGGAGACACTGGCTTGCCAGTGTCACTCCTACAAAGTGGCACTGAGAACTAATCTTTCTCAGCAGCTCAGGTCTGGCTAGAGGGAGCATTACTTTCCTGAATGGAACTCTGCATTTCTAGGAATAAAATTCATGATGTCATTAGCTTTCTTAGCAAACCCATGTCCACTCACAAATCATATGGTTCATTCTGCATCTGAAGCTTGAACTGTAATGCAGGATCTTACATTTCCCTCTGTTTAGTTTAGTTTATTGTTTCTTTTTTTTGAGGGGGTGGGGGAAGGACTAGGATTTAAACTCAGGGATTTGTGCTTGCAAATCAGGTGCTCTACTGCTTGAACCACACCTCCAGTACATTTTACTCTGGTTATTTTTGGAGATGGGGGTCTCACAAACTATTTGCCTGGGCTGTTCTTAAACTTCGATCTTCCTGATTTTAGCCTCCCAAGTAGCTAGGATTACAGGCATGAGCCAATGGTGCCCAATTAGTTTTGTTGTTTCTGATTATATTTTCATCCTACGCCCTTCAGTCAGTGGAAATTATCCAGTCCCAAATGATAGATTCATATCTAGAAATCCCCAATTCATCCTTTCTGTCTTTTTGGCTGAGTGGCATAACAACTTAGGGAAGTACTATAAGTTCTTTATAGCTTGAATCTCCACTCTATACAGAAAGATGTTGGGGGCTGGGGTGTGGCTCAGTGGTAAAGCTCTTGCCTAGCTTGTGCGAAGCCCTGGATTCAATAACAAGCCAAGCCCTAGTGGCTCACGCCTTAATCCTAGCTACTTGGGTGACAGAGATCAGGAGGATCGTGAGCCCAGGCAGTTTGTAAGACCCTATCTCAAAAATACTCAACACAAAAAGGGCTAGCAGATGGACTGGAGGCCTAGCTCAAGTGGTAGAGCAACTGCTTTGCAAGTGTGAAGCCCTGAGTTCAAACCCTAGTCCTACCAAAAAAAAAGGACTAGCGGAGTAGTCCAAGTGGTAGAGAGCTTGTCTAGCAAGCATGAAGACATGAGTTCAAAGCCCAGTGCACCACCAAAAAAAAAAAAAAGAGAGAGAGAGAGATGTTACTGTACTGGCTTCATAGATTTTTCTATCTGTCTGTCTATCTATCTATCTATCTATCTAGACAAGGTTTCACAATGTAGCCAAGGCTGGCCTTGAACTCATGGTCCTTCTACTTCAGCCTCCCAAGTGCTGGTGAGATTGCAAGTGTGCATTTCATAGTTATTTTACCTCTTAGAAATTCAAATGTAATGAATCACAAAGGAATGGGTAAATGTTTTAGAAAGAATATAGAAGTTTCCAAAAAAAAAGAAGGAAAAAGGAGAGTTGCATATCTTCCAACTCAAGTGGCTTGGAAGAGATCAGGTGCTAAAAATCAAACCAGGCTTGAAGTGGAAAGGGAAAGACTCTAGACAATAAGTGTTAAGACTGTACAGGCTGCTGGCTCACATACCTTATGAGTGAGCTAAAAATAAATATGCTTCCCCAAGTGGTTGCTGGAACCTGCAGCATCCCAAGGAATTAGGGGTTCTAGTTTGGTCCTGTTGGTTCACAGCAATGCACAGGAGCCCCAAAATATTAGAGATGCTCTTTGATTGCTTCCCAGAGCTAAAAATCAGGATAGTAAAGACTGCAAACCCACAGTCTAGCACATGAATATTTTGTTTAATTTTAGTTTTGAGACAGTCTCACTATGTAGCACAGGCTGGACTGAACTTGAGATCCCTCCTGCCTCAGCCTGTGAGTGTTGGAATTACAGACATGCACTACCATGCCTGCCCTAATTTAGCACAATTTTTGACTTTTTAAAAAAATAATACCGACTTGCTGAGAGCACTGGCCAGTGCCCTGCAGAATGCCTCTCCTTGCAGGTTTGTCCTGCTGCTTCCTCTAGTGTCCTTCAGTTTGTTTCTTTATCCCCAGCACTTCCTGTAAACTGCAAGTCATATCTCATATTTCTTTTGGGAGGTGAGAAGCAGCTAGAATATACTCTAGGTTGTACCTGAATGACACTAGAACTTACCATTAGTTACTAGGACAAATTCCAGGAAATGGGAGATGAAATAGGTGACGGACCTTCCAACATAGTTTGTTTGCAACCTCAAGACTGTAAACTCAACCTGGCATGGTGGTACATATCTGTAATCCCAACATTTGGAGGTTAAGGCAGGAGTACCGTGGCCAGGCGCCCCAGTGGCTCACACCTGTAATCCTAGCTACTCAGGAGGCAGAGATCAGGAGGATCAAGGTTCAAAGCTAGCACAGACAAATAGTTCACCAGACCCTATCTCAAAAAACCCCCATCACAAAAAAGGCTGGAGGAGTAGCTCAAGGTGTAGGCTCTGAGTTCAAGTCCCAATACCACAAAAAAAAAAAAGAGCACTGTGAATTTGAGGCCAGCCAGTGATGTTTCTTATAATATATGACTGTCTAACTTTCCACCTAGCATTACACTGGTTTTGATTTTGTTTTTGTTTTGCTTTGAAACTGGGTCTTGTTAGGTAGCCCAGGTTGGCCTTGAACTCTCTTGAGCCTCCTGCCTTAGCCTCCTATGTGCTGGGATTACAGGCATGTAATAGCCAGCTGCACAAGTATATTTTAAACCCTTTACAATGGGCAGCAGAATTCCCTAACTGGCTCTCTTGATTGGTAACCAACCACACTCTCTTGCTATTAGGTCTCCAGATCCACCAAGGTCTCCAAAAGGAAGGAAGAAGCCACTCCTCTCTCTGAAGTGCTGGGCAGGATTAGAATAAAAATGATAGACTATCTTGATTTCATACAGATTATAATTATTATACATATATTTTGTGATTCAAACACTAGGAAGTTTTGGGAAATCCCTTGGAATTCATTAGAAATGCACCTAGAAGGTACATGCTTCCATTTCTATTACTGGCAGCAAAAGCAACTCTTTTGGGGCACAAATCCGTAACAGAAACTAAATATACCTCTTGCATAAGTGAAACGTCCCTGACCATAATCAAAATTACAATGAAGATTAGAAACAAGTTGATACTAACTATGAGTGATGTTTCTAGGGGAAAACAGCATTTCAAATGTAAAACAAATCAAATGAAAAGAGTCAGCAAGAATAGGATCTCTGAGCCTGGCATGCTGGTACACACCTGTAATCCCAGCACTCAGGAGGGTGAGGCAGAAGGATCATGAGTTTGAGGCTGGCCTGGCTACATAGTGAGATCCTGTCTCAAAACAAACATAATAATCATAATAATAATAATAGAATAGGCTCTACAAGAAAAAGGAAAAGGAAGATAGAAGCAGCATAAATAAAGGAGGTATAAACAGATGA